TAACAATGTAAAACGAAGAACAAAGACTTACCTCATTAATGTCGGATAGTTTCTTGCTTAACATCTCCATACGTTCACCATAGGCTTTCCCGCCTCAAAAAATATTTTTAAATAATATATTAGTAAAAACATATTTGGCACAACAAATTTAGGGGGGATATAAAGGGGATTCGAGTTTGTTAAAATGAACGGTCAGGACTTCTTTCAAGGGAAGATAATTTAGAATAACTAAACTTTGACTTATTATATTCCAAGGACTGTTAGGTTAGAAAAGTTTGAACTTATGTTATAAACATCTTTAATGGATATGGAAGATTTAAGTATGTTCAAATCATTGAACTCCGGGGGTAGGTTAATTGGTTCCATAAATGAAGATCATTTTTACAAAAGAAAAGGGAGGAACTTTGTACAATCTTCTCAAGAAAAGATTAATCATATTTGATAAAGGGGCATTTTCAATTGTAAAAAATTAAATCTTGACATAAAGGGGAAAGATAGGCTATAACAGGAGATCAAAGTTATTATATATGAATATTTATGAGGAAGAAGATTGATCATTTTTTTCTGTAAAGATCAACGATCCCATTTTAATTATTGGCATACTATTATTTATTTTAAGAATTAAAAATCCCAATTTTATTTTCCATTTCCGATACTTCCTTGCACTTCTTAGTACACGCAGCTTAAATCATATCAACTTTCCGTTTAGGTAAAAAGAGTGGCTTTTTATTTAGAAAATTTTTTATTTAACATTGAAAATTATAAATCCAGAAAAGCTTTGTATAACAAAGGGAATAATTATATATGTCTTAAAACTTCTGGTATTTACAATTTTTGAAGAATTAAAAAAAAAAATCTAAGGAAAGTTTATTCGTGTATTTGAGCATTTGAAAATTTGAGTCATCTTTCTGTTGATTAAAACAGAGGCGCTGTTACAGTCCTAGCGCTTACCCAGACAATATGCGATGCATGTACATTTTACAAAAAAAGATTCAAGAAAAAAGCTATTCATAACGAAAACTCTAATTTCCGCTGCTCTAGAAAATACAAACTCTCTTTGTGCATTAAAAAAAGCAAAACTTGAACCTTGTATCTGAGTACTAGTATTTGAAGTGCTCGGAGGTTTTGATTATTGAAATTTCTATTAATATCACAACTTAACCCAATTCCTTTACAATTTAATAAACCTTTGAACTTCCATCGACCTGAGGTTTTTTTTTTTAACAAAGTAAAGATTTTTTTCTAAAATAATATGTCCCTTACCCTGGTAATCTGGCTTTTTGGTCGCCATTTTTATCTCGTGTTGTCAATCTGTTTCTAAAGTTGTCAGAGCTGCAGAAACAAGCTCACAACTTCCCTGTCCAACGCTCACTTCCGCACAAACACAAAATACATGAAATATAATTTTACACTATCACATGTCGAGATTTGTTTTTTTTATCACCAGACAATCGTCAAGTACTAAAGAATTACGAACGGGAAATCGTTCATAAGTGCCCACAAGTTAGTTTTCAAGAGAAATCTCATTTTGTAATATTATGTAAGACTATTGTACTACTGTAACACGGAAGTATTGAATTGTGAATTTTTCATGAACAATTTATCAGATAGGACAATTTTCCTTCTATTTCTGTGTTAAAGTGGGAAAACATTCACCAATATCTGCCATGTCAGCGCTGTAGCACTTCGCGACAGTTATGGCCTGACAAACTTAAATCTAATATATTGTGGGGAAACATTGCTGCATTTACAGGAACAACACGCTGTCACGCTAACACAAGTCCGCGCAAACACGCCGCCGCGCTAAAAGACGCTTTCAAGCAAACACGTCGTGTGAGTTGTCTGTTAGCGAGACAACTTGTGTTAGCCTGACAACGTGTCGTGTGTTGGCGAGACAACTTGTGTTAGCCTGACAACGTGTCGTGTGTTGGCGAGACAACTTGTGTTAGCCTGACAACGTGTCGTGTGTTGGCGAGACAACTTGTGTTAGCCTGACAACGTGTCGTGTGTTAGCGAGACAACTTGTGTTAGCCTGACAACGTGTCGTGTGTTGGAGAGACAACTTGTGTTAGCCTGACAACGTGTCGTGTGTTGGCGAGACAACTTGTGTTAGCCTGACAACGTGTCGTGTGTTGGCGAGACAACTTGTGTTAGCCTGACAACGTGTCGTGTGTTAGCGAGACAACTTGTGTTAGCCTGACAACGTGTCGTGTGTTAGCGAAACAACTTGTGTTAGCCTGACAACGTGTCGTGTGTTAGCGAAACAACTTGTGTTAGCCTGACAACGTGTCGTGTGGTAGCGAAACAACTTGTGCTAGCCTGACAATGTGTTGTGTGTTAGCCTGAGAAGGTTAGCGAAACAAGTTGTGTTAACCTGAAAACGTGTTGTGTGTTAGCGCGAAGGCGTGCTGTGTGTAAGCGCAACTATGGGGCGCCGTTTTGGTATTTACTGCCAAAAAGTGATATCATCTATTCGAATAAGTGATATCACTTGTTTGATTTGAATTGGTGATATCACCTATTCGAAAAGGTGATATCACTTATTCGAATAGGTGATATCACTAATTCCAATAGGTGATATCACCTATTCCTTTCGAATAGGTGATATCACTTATTCGAATAGGTGATATCACATTTTCAAATTAATAATGAAATAACAACAGCTCCCAAGACCATAGGTCTCTAAATCTTATTTACTTTCACTTTCGTTCTATAGCTCATCATTCTAGGAGACAATAGATTACAGTTTTGCATTTAATTTTAATCAACCCATATAGAAATTGTAATTTGTTTTGCTCACAAATTAATTCATTTCACTTATCTATCATGTAAACTTTAAGAAAAATTGGAAAAACGCATGAAAACTGGGTAGTCCGAATTTTCTCGGTTCCAGTGGTAATCTATATATTATAGGGAGCATTCATTATTTATTGTTGTAAGAAATTCAAATAGGTGATATCAATTCAAACTGAATAGGTGATATCACCTATTCATTTCCAATAGGTGATATCACCTATTCGAATAGGTGATATCACCCATTGAAAATGAATAGGTGATATCACCAATTCGAATAGGTGATATCACCCATTCGAATATGTGAAATCACCTTTTCAAATAGTTGATATCACTTTTTGCCAGTAAATACCAAAACGTCTCATACGCAACGACGTATATTTTTCTGGACGCAGTTTTGATGAGCTTTAGCAAATGGCCTACCATCTGGACACCATAAATTACAGAGGCGATACGTGCACCATTTAGCGCAATTTTTAAAAAATCTATTTTGGTAGAAATAAAAAAAACCGATTTTTAACGAAGATTAGCAATGTTATTGAACCTCGTAATGCATGAAAAGAAAGAAAAAGAGATATAATTTTCGCATTGCATATGACATTTTGTAAATCAGTAAGAATTTACAATTGATGAAGTATGCCTCATGCAAGATCTAGACCTTCCCTTAATCCTTTCGATTCGTTCCCGACCTTAATTTTTCCTGTCGGTGATGGGAATATCTGTATCTATATTGTTTTTTTAAAAGTTAATGGAGCCAAAACGAAAAGGTCTTGATTGGTCACTATATATTTTTTTAAAGAAATGCAGTTGCTTATAAATATATATTTTTCTCCGAAACATTGATCAAAATTTTAGATAATGACACCGAAATGCACCTGCTTAGTAGATAAACAGTGCTTATATAAAGTTTTTTTAAAGTAGGCATACCTCTATTTGTGCTTAATCCACGATCTTATGTTACAGTGTTAGAATTATGCATACGAATAAGCCTTTATAGAGCAGAGAAACAGTATATATTTGAATCCCTGCAGTCATACGCATTAATTTTACGTACAAACTGGGTCAAAACTACACACAGCACACATGCCAGACTGCAGAAATAATGATCATTAAAAATATACAAGTTCTTTACATGTACTTGTTGTTCGTCAAGCAAAAAATAAAATCCTTTCTTCTTATTATAAAGCTTGACATTCACCATTCGGTATATATTCCCCTTTTACCCAACCCGTCAAGAAATCTAACTCAGTGTTCTGCTCGAAAAATTAAATGTGAATATTTGTTCAAAAATACATAGTTTGAATTAATGTAGAATACATTTAAGCAGTTGGATTAGAATTAAAGATTATAGCTTGATGTTTTTTTTAGGCCCCATTCGACAATTTTTCACTCATATAAAGACGTCACTATAATATACATGTCCATTGAGGGCTTCAAACCTTTACTCGGTACTCAGGACAATGAGCAATCCCTACCGTGACTAGAGATCTCGGTTTTTATGGTCTTATCCGAAGGAATTGCAACTTTCACTTCAAAGTGTAGAGCGCCTGGTGAAGGTCGTAGGTCAGTCGCGACTGAGATTCTTTTTTCAAACCGAGCCAAGATACTGACAAATAAGTTGCTGTGGCAATGATTTCATCAACCCAGTTTGTCAGCTAAAAATCTCACGGTGGTTATGTTTAGTCTTTAAGAGGTTCTTTAACTTCTCATAGACCATAAACTGAGAACAGACTTAAGTCAAAATTTCAAATTACTATAACTTTTGGAATAATTTTGTAATTGAAACAAATTTTTCATCATATATTTGAATTTAAATATTACACAACATTACAAATTTTTCATCATAAATTTGAATTTAAATATTACACAGCATCGCAACGATTTTTAATTAAAAAAAATATTTTGTTTATGTACAAAATAATAAGTCTACAGCTCTGCTCAACCCCACGTGCTTCAAAATAAATTAAATCATAGTGGTCCGGCTTATCTTTTTTCATTTATTTAAGATTAACATGGAGGCCCTATAAACAATTTGTATATGACAAAATTATTATTTTTATCCATATGGATAATTATATTTATTTAAGACATGTAATCGCTTTCTTTTAAATCTTGAACACACTCTATCCTCGTGGAACGAATGATAACTCTGCAAGGAAGATTTGAACAAAGCCAAGGAGTTGTCCCCCTAAATTAGAACTCTTTTGGTTCAGGAGTTACGAAAGGTGTTGTTTATATTTCGAAAGAAAAGAGTGTCACTGTCCCACTGACTGTCAGTCACCACTGAATCAGAGTTTGGTAAAAGCCATCAAAAATGTCGTTGGATCTACTCCCTGCAAAGTTAAAACCTATCGGGCATTACATAAAGACAGCGATCGAACATGACAAGCGGGATCCGGTGGTTGCGTATTACTGTATGTGAATTTACAAAGTTACCTTCTCAAATGTCAAAACTGAAACTTAGTGAAGGTCTACATGATTACCATGCAATTATGAATGACATAATCACAATTACTGAGTTCTAGTAATATATCTGAAAAGTCTAAAATGATATTTGTAATTTCATGTAAAGGATAATAGATGAACTAAGTTATGTCATAGGAAAATGGAAAGTTTGCTTCCTCAATCACTTCTACTAGTGACAGTAGTACATCTTTTGTGAAACGTTGCATTGATTATGATCAAAAGATATTATACTATTAATCATCTAAAATTATCACATTTAAACAATATTATTTCAACTTTTTTCCAACATTTAATAAATGTTGGGTTTGCTATTGTATATATCATGTACATGTATATACTAGATGTCGTACAAGACACAAAAGATAAACAGAGAAATACATGTGTATAAAAGGGATGGAGAAATTTATGGCAGGCTGAACCAGGAATTGGACCTGGAATCCTGCATCACTTATCAGATGTACCACTGACAGAGTCCCTGTCATGCCAATAGCCTTAAAATAATGTTAAACTTAATGTATGGCTGGATCAAGCATTTAATAATCTCTGTGGAGATTCAGCTGGCTAGATATTTGGCCTGATGTCATCAGCAGTGTGAGAATTAGTATTTAATTATCTTGACAGGTTTCATGCTGTGTATAGCTCATCTAAACACCTTCCTGAAGGACAAGAGAAAAAAATTCTGCCTACAATGGTTTTTCTAAATCAAGCCAGTTCTTTGTCAATTTTCTTGAAAAAAAAAAATTAGAAACAATTTTTCTTTAAATCCATAAATTTCATGGAGAAGATGTGTTGCTGACAAAAAAACGATGAATATAATTCAAAAACTGAAAAGAAACATGATCTGTTTTTTTGACATTCTTTTTAAAAAAACATTTTTTTGTTTGTTTTCTGCAGGTCGGTTTTATGCAGTGAAGAAAGGAATAGAAATTGACAGCTCTTCTCCAGAATGTAAAAGCTACTTACTGGGGTTGATGGATTACTTGGAGAAGGTAAGTGTTCTACACTTATACTGACTGTTACTATGAAGTAATGTATTGAACAATATTTATTACAATGGTTTTCACACATAAATGAATAGAATTCAAACAATAATTGTTCATTAATCATGTTGAAAAAATTAATCAAATCTAAAAGGAAAAGATATGTGTGCTTTATGTAATTTTTTTTTAAATGAAATATACTATTTGATTAATAAATGAATATCTTGTATTTCTTGCAGCAAAAACAGGCTGCCCCAGAGGATTCACCAATCAAAAACGAGGTCGTAGGTCAAGCACATGTGGAGAACTATGCCCTGAAAGTATTCCTGTACGCTGACAATGAGGACAGAGCGGGACGACATAACAAGTAGGAGTGTAAAACAATTGAATTAAATACATACTTCTGTATCATCTATAGGAGTTATCAATACGCAAGTTTCGAGATTATCTCCCTTGGTGCGCTCTTTCGTTGAGGAGGGGAGTTTCGTTGCCGCGTAAACAAACAGGTGGGACAGATATTTGTTATTGTGTATGTTGGATACATTGCATCATCGATATACCGGTGTATCATAACTACACGATTGTCAGGATGCACTCTGCAGCTTGAGAATAACCAAATTAAAGTAAAGGCATCATTTTTAAATCAAAAATATCGAAACAAAAAAGAAAATACCAGTGGATGTGAGACTTTTCAGACGAGGGAAGAGATATTGACCTCTAATAAACGATACACATGCATCTGGTCATTGCATGTCGGGAATCTAAATTACATATTGATTCTTTTCCTTATTTTAACTTAAAAAACACTTACTTTTTAGAAAATGTTCGTACAATGAATAAAATCTGTTACTTTTTATAAAGACTATGACGTTTTTTCGTTTTCAAGTACCCGAAAAGAATGAATCCTCTAAACACTGCAATTTCGCCCCTTCTTACATGCAGAATTTTACCCTTTTAAATAAGAAAATTGTTATCTTAAAGCTAGAGTCTTCAAGTATAGTCTGTATGGATACTAATAAAGGATTGTTTAGGAAAGAGACTTTCAGTATATACATGATATCGATTAAATAAAGTCGCATATTTCACTGTAAAACTTCGCCATTACGGCTATGTAGGTCACTGAGAACAAGTATTTGAGTGAGAAGGCGGGGCGTCTATCAAGCGTGCGATTTGTATGAATACATTAGAGTGTGTTCGAATTGTACTTAGTTTCATGATGAAGTGACACCTAAAACCTCTTATTTAGTGCTAGAGGACGACCAAATATAAGTACCCTTTTTTTTAATTTGTCAGGCTTAACTTCGTTTTTTTTCTGTTTAACTTACGAGTCATATTTGAAATGATTTATTAGAAATTCGTCAAATTATTTAAATATAAAGAAACACAATTATTTCGAATTTGTGAATAGAACGTATAATGCAGGATATATACACTTTTGTCATACTTTAAAACTTCATTTTTATAGAGATGATAATTAATCCATTAAAGCTTATGATTAATACATTAAAGCTCATTAAATTTACATGAATAACTATTTCATAGCATATACATATATGATTTTGCGAAATCACACCAAATACGGTTGAAATATGATATATAAACTTCACTCTGTGTATAAAAAATAAAATCGCAAGAAAGTGAAAATTAAACGACAGTTTAACGTCAATATTATCGTTGCTGGATATATAAAAAAAACATCAGTGTTAGACAAGTGTACTTTGTACAGTCCAGATTGCATCGTTTAATTGGGGTAAACAATAAACCATTTAAAAAAAATTACGCCCTTCACCATTCGATTTTTTGTTATTAATATTTAATTGTTGTTAGATTTTGTGCCGATGTAAAGAGTTATAACATGTCGTCAGAAGTAACCCGGAATTTCCCTCTATTCAATTAGGGGTGCATTTTGTGCAATGTGTTCGTCCAGTGACTTTTCACCCGATATATAAGCCTTATCAACGTCTCATACTTCAATTTCTTTTCCGTAAGGTTTCTTAAATTTGAAGTATGCTTTTGTAACAAATGGTTTATTTTCTAAAGATATGATAAATTAGTATTTTTTTCAAATAACGATCTATAAAATTAACGAAAAACTGAGAGAAAAATATTTAATATCTTCTAAGGTTTGATGAACGTACCACTGATGTGATAATTATACTTAGGAACAAATAATATATCCACAGTATTTTTTTTTTAATTCTATATTAATGAGATACAAGTAGTAAGTGCAAGATTTATGCTACAAGCCTCCAATATATATTGATAAATACCGAAAAAAATCAAACAAAATCAACTGAAATATCGTTATAATAACAAATAAAAAAAATGTGAACATGTCCTGAATATACCGGCATAAACATTTTATCCCAGAGTACTTTAAAGTCTAATTATACCCATTTGAAAATGATTTGACCATCGATAGCTCGCAACAATGGACACGATGTCGCATTGATCTGCTCAAAGCATGAAAAGTGAATAGATTTGAGTCACGTGTTCAATGCTTTGTTATTCATGAGGTCAAAGGCGGATTGAATTTGTAAACAAGGTGCCTTTACTATAGGGACAGGTACCCGAGATTTTGCACCTTTTGGGAAAATAACATGTGAGCGCATGGCTGTTTCAATTTCTTTCATGAATTAAAATGACAAGTATAACTCTTTACATTGACCGTATTTATTACAACTTGAAACACCAATGCGCTCATATAAAAAATGGGCTTGCAAAGTGGGGGTGTGGCCTAAAGTCTATGAGAAATAAATGCAAACAACGTACCCCTGCTATATTAATCAGATAAATACCCAATTATAGTGCAAGGAAGTGAAAATTGAAAAAGAAATATATAAACTACAGTGTTTAATGGAAAGATTGAGACAAAAATATGTAGAAAATGTTTAAACTTATTTTTTGTAAATTATCGGGGGGCCAAATTTGGACGTTTAAACGATTCATTCTTTATAGTAGAATTGTAAATATGCATAGTTGAGCTTGATAAAATCATCAAATGCATCCCTGCATAACATTATTATCTTTCTATAACATTTAATTAATTTTAAAAGCCATAAATATCGTTCTTTTATTTATGCACTTTTGTATACAGAGACAACCTGTCCCACCTCCATGCTGAAATGGGTACTTTTTGCGCCTCTATCGTAGGAGAGTTACAATCTCAAAACTGGCGTATTAGGAGTGATTCTAGCTTTTTTTTCCCTAGAATTCCTTTAAATTTTAGCTCATATGCTTTCAAGTTATTGTTGTGAGATGTGTATTGTTTCATTATGTATATAATTAGTAACATTAAGTTTCTTGAACATTCCAGAGTGGTCATTATGTTTGGTCATTTTTTCTAGAACATTCTTGAACTTTATTCATGTCCAGAACTTTCCAGGAATATCATGTATTTACAATTTCTAGAATATTCTAGATTTATGATACTGTATAAATACCCTGTCAATTCGATGCATAAATAATTGTGGATACATTGTCGTATAAGCATCATTGAGGTATTACTGGGATATAATTTCACTGGGACATTGTGTGCAGCAACGGACACTCTGATGTATGTATTTTTAGATTTTTGCTAAGTTTGTACTTAATGATTTGTATATTACTGTAAATAAATTATTGTTAAGTTTAAACTGTGTGATTGATCTTTGCTGGCATTTAGGGTTATTCTGACCCATAACAGAATTGGGGGCTCGTCCGGGATCAAGAATTTCTTGCACTTTTGCAGTTCATTGTCAGAATTTTGTTAATTAAATTGTTAAATTTGACTATAAGCCAGCAAAAATCAACATGGTATTTTCGGTCACAAACTTTCTTAGTTCGCCAAGTGTTCAGGTTTTTGATACGTTAAAAAAGGATGACTTGATCGCATTAGGTTTGCATTTTGGGTTAGATGTTAAATCCTCTCAGAGAAAGCAAGACATTAGAATTAAGGTTGCAAACAAACTAGTAGAAGAAAACATCTTTGAAAAATACGATCTTCCAGAATATACAGATAGATCAGAGTTAGGCTCTTACAAAATGACAGACTATCAGTTTCAATTAGAGTTAGAGAAAATGCGATTTGAAAGAGAAGAGCGAGAAAGAGATAGAGAAAGAGAAGAACGAGAGCGTGAACGAAAATTTGAATTAGACAAATTAGCAGCAGAAAGAGAAGAGCGAGAAAGAGAGCGTGAAATGAACTTTGAATTAGAGAAATTAAAATTACAAAACCAACCAGAACCGTCATTTGTCAAGAATGAATTTGACGCAGCAAAAAATATCAGATTAGTTCCAAAATTTCAAGAAAAATCTGTAGACAAATATTTTCCCCAATTCGAGAAAGTCGCAGAAAATCTTAAATGGCCACAACACGTTTGGTCAACAATGTTACAAAGTGTACTGGTTGGCAAAGCAGCTGAGGTATACTCTGCACTAGGGGTAGCTGAGAGTTCAGACTATGAGAAGGTCAAAGCAGCAATATTAAAAGCATATGAATTAGTACCTGAAGCATATAGACAAAAATTCAGAAAGTATAGGAAGTTTGATAATCAAACATTTGTTGAATTTTCACGAGAGAAAGAAGATTTATTCGATCACTGGTTTAGATCTAAGAAACTTGATAAAACCTTTGCTAATTTGCGCCAAGTCATCCTGGTAGAAGAGTTTAAGGAATGTGTTTCTCAAGATTTGAAAACACATTTAGAAGATAAGAATGTGAAAACTCTTGAAGAGGCAGCAGTCATATCTGATACTTATGCTCTATCTCATAAAAAGAATTTTGTATCAAGATCTCAGACTAGCAGCAATTCTACCAATTCAGACACATATAAAAAGAGTGGTTCAGGGTCTCAGTCTTTCACAAGTTCCCAGTCTCCATCCCAAGGTGGTTCTAAGTCCGGTCCAGGACGTTTTGAAGGATCTTCTGGAATAGGGTCGCTTCCTACTTGTAGTTATTGTAAGAAAAAGGGTCATCTGATCAGTGAATGCTTTAAACTTAAGAGAAAAAATGATTTTGATAAAACTCAACCACACGCTTGTGCGGCAGTTAGAGGTGATAGAGAAGCCTTAGTTTCGATTTGTTCTGACACTCCTGATGTCCAGGGTTCACAGTCCAGTTCTATTGATTCTATGGAGGATTATAAGCCCTTTATGTCTCAGGGATTTGTTTCACTCGGTGACTCTAGCGAAATAAAACCTGTCCAGATTTTGAGAGATACTGGTGCTGCACAGACGTTATTGTTAGAGGGCGTGCTTCCTTTGTCTGAGCAGACTTCTACTGGTGGGTCAGTTTTATTACAGGGTGTGGAGCTAGGTGTCATTGATGTTCCCCTGCATAGAATTAGTTTGAAGTCAGATTTAGTTACTGGACCTGTTATCGTAGGTGTTCGACCTACTCTTCCCGTTCCAGGCATTTCTTTGTTGCTAGGCAACGATTTAGCTGGTGGAAAAGTTGTACCAGATCCTATAGTTTGTGAGAAAATCACTCCAGATGTCATGTGCGATGATGAAGATGATGACATTTATCCAGCCTGTGCTGTTACTAGAGCGATGGCCAGAAGACGAGAAATGGAGGCAGACCATACTCAAGCCTTTGACGAGACGAATTCCTCTGTTGATATTGATTTGAATGACACTTTCTTATCTGACCTTGATGGCACTCAAACAAGCATGGAACCACACAATATCAAGAAGCAAGAGAAGAAAGAATTTTTACCAAAATTTGGTGGTGAGGATGATGTTAGCCAAGGCAAGGACATCCTCAGCCGAGAACGTTTACTCTCTGAACAAAATAAAGACCCAGATATCATTCAACTTAGTAAGAGGGCACTTCCACCAGAAGAGGCTATTAAAGTTGGAGAATGCTTTTATATGAAAGATGGCATCCTTATGCGAAAATGGCGACCACCTGACGCTTTCCCAGATGAAGTGTGGCGTGTTGTTCACCAGATAGTGGTCCCAGCTGCTTATCGTCGAGATGTCATGAGTTTAGCTCACGATACACCTATGGCAGGTCATTTAGGTGTCAATAAGACTTATAATAGGATTTTGAGTCATTTTTATTGGCCTAAGCTAAGAAAGGACGTTTCTGAGTTTTGCAAGTCATGCCATGTCTGTCAGATGGTAGGTAAACCAAATCAGAAGATACCATCTGCTCCTCTCCAACCCATTCCAGCTTTTGAAGAACCGTTTAGTCGAGTGTTGGTGGATTGTGTAGGACCTTTGCCTAGGACTAGATCTGGAAACCAGTATTTACTTACCATTATGTGTACATCCACTCGGTTTCCTGAAGCCATACCTCTTAGGAATATAAAGGCAAAGAGCATAGTTAAGGCCCTAACCAAGTTTTTCAGTTTTGTAGGAGCACCCAAGGCAATTCAGTCGGATCAAGGCTCAAATTTTATGTCGGGGTTGTTCCAGCAAGTCATGCATGAGTTGGGTATTAGGCAGTATAGATCAACTGCTTATCATCCTGAGTCCCAGGGAGCGCTAGAACGTTTTCATCAAACCCTAAAAACAATGCTGAAGACCTATTGTTACCAGTATGAGAAAGAATGGGACGAAGGGGTTCATCTTGTGCTGTTTGCTGCACGAGAAGCAGTCCAGGAGTCTCTTGGGTTCAGTCCTTTTGAATTGGTGTTCGGACATACAGTTAGAGGTCCTTTGAAATTGTTGAAGGAAAAGTGGCTGACTGAGACTAGTGATCTTAATCTTTTAGATTATGTGTCTGATTTCAAAGAAAAACTTTACAATGCTTGTAAATTAGCACAAGAAAATTTGAAGAGTTCTCAGATGAAAATGAAAATGTGGTATGACAAAGATGCCAGAAATAGGGTGTTTAAGCCAGGTGATAAGGTTCTTGTATTTTTACCTATTCCTGGTCATCCTTTACAAGCCAGATTTTATGGCCCTTATGAAATTGAAAGCAAGATCAGTGATGTAAACTATGTAGTTAAGACACCAGGTCGACGTAAAGAGAAACGGGTTTGTCACATTAACATGTTAAAAGAGTATTTTGAAAGGTGTGACCGAAATTCTGTAAAACCAGTTTCCACTTTAGCCAACGCTAAGACTGTTCAAAATTGTATTGAGAGTGATACGAGTGTAGAGATGAATGAGAAAGATTGTAATCAGAGTGTCCGCTTGAAAAACTCAGATATTTTGGCTGATTTTGATGCCAAACTTGGACATTTGAACATTCACCAAAAAGAACAAGTTAAAAACTTGATGAATGAGTATCATCAAATCTTTTCGGATGTTCCAAAGAAAACTAATGCAGCTTGTCATGATGTCATAGTGAGTGACGTTTTGCCTATCAAACAACATCCATACCGTATGAATCCAATAAAATTGCAGTACCTAAGAAGGGAAGTGCAGTACATGTTGGACAATGACATTGTTGAACCTAGTAAAAGTAATTGGAGCTCACCGTGTATTCTTGTACCAAAACAGGACAGTTCCTACCGATTATGTACAGACTTTAGAAAGGTGAATTCTGTTACCCAAACTGATTCATATCCAATACCTAGAATCGATGACTGTATTGACAATATTGGAAACGCGAAATTTGTCAGTAAATTTGACCTGTTGAAAGGCTACTGGCAAGTGCCGTTAACAGAAAGAGCAAAAGAAATATCTGCTTTTGCTACACCAGATGGACTTTATCAGTATAAAGTAATGCCTTTTGGCATGAAAAACGCACCGGCTACATTCCAAAGGATGATTCACTCCCTCCTTCAAGACCTCGAGGGATGCGAGGCCTACATTGATGATGTCGTCATATACAGCGACACATGGGATGAACATCTCCGAATCATGCGTGCTTTGTTTGACATTTTAGCTAAAGCAAACTTAACTGTGAACCTTGAGAAGAGCGAATTTTGTCATGCCTATGTAGAGTATTTAGGTCATAAAGTAGGTCAAGGTTATGTTGCACCCATTATGGCTAAAGTGGAAGCTATTGCAAAGTTCCCGATTCCTACAAACAAGAAAGAGTTAATGAGGTTTTTGGGCATGGCTGGGTTTTACAGAAAATTTTGTCCAAATTTTTCCTCAGTAGTTAGTCCACTTACAAATCTTTTACAAAAGAGGGTTAACTTTGAATGGACAAAGGACTGTGAAAAATCATTTCATAAAATCAAATCTGTCCTTATGAGCAATCCAGTTTTGTCAACTCCAGATTTTTCTAAGCAATTTAAGCTTACTGTTGACGCTAGTGATGTTGGAATCGGGGCAGCTTTGTTTCAAGAACATAGTGATAAGGTAGATAGAGTTGTTTCTTATTTTTCAAAGAAACTTACAAAATGTCAACAAAAGTATTCCACCATTGAAAAGGAATGCCTTGCTTTGTTGTTAGCCTTACAGCATTTTGATGTTTATCTGAATGTTACTTTGCATCCAATTCTTGTATATACGGATCACAACCCCCTGACATTTTTGCATAAATTGTCAAATAAGAATCAAAGACTGACTAGATGGAGTTTGTTGTTACAAGAATACAACATAACAATTAAGCATATCAAAGGCAAAGACAATATTATTGCAGATGCCTTGTCCAGAGTATCATGAACAAATTAGATTTTGTATTAATGTACATGAATTTTATTTTAATAATATAAGTTTTCATTGACATTCAAACTTTTTAAGGGGGGAGGTGTTGTGAGATGTGTATTGTTTCATTATGTATATAATTAGTAACATTAAGTTTCTTGAACATTCCAGAGTGGTCATTATGTTTGGTCATTTTTTCTAGAACATTCTTGAACTTTATTCATGTCCAGAACTTTCCAGGAATATCATGTATTTACAATTTCTAGAATATTCTAGATTTATGATACTGTATAAATACCCTGTCAATTCGATGCATAAATAATTGTGGATACATTGTCGTATAAGCATCATTGAGGTATTACTGGGATATAATTTCACTGGGACATTGTGTGCAGCAACGGACACTCTGATGTATGTATTTTTAGATTTTTGCTAAGTTTGTACTTAATGATTTGTATATTACTGTAAATAAATTATTGTTAAGTTTAAACTGTGTGATTGATCTTTGCTGGCATTTAGGGTTATTCTGACCCATAACATTATTGATCACTGCCATATTTATAATAGCCAAAGTAGTAATACATTTTTTGCATCATCTTTTAGTACTTCCACATCCTTGAAGAAAAATAAAACAACTTTTATAACTTTCATGTTGTCTTGTTATGATATAATATTAACTGATTGAATGAGTTAAACTTGATTGTAGGAATGTTGTCAAGTCTTTTTACACAGCAGGCATGCTGTTTGATGTTCTCTCTGTGTTTGATGAAGTCAGTGAAGATGTGAGTACTTTTATCTGTATTTTTTAACTGATAACAATTTTTAAAAATGTTGATATCTATGAAAATAGCTTAACATATACATTTTGCTATAGAACAATTAATTAGATGTAAACCACAATGAATTGGTCATCAGCAAAAGGAGACCTATTCCTTTTTCATGTCCAAAGAATAAGTCACATTCAGCTATAGATATATCTTATGCACCAAGCTTGACAGTTGTGGCCTCTAGATAACTACTTAAATGCTCAATGATATGATGCAGCATTTTATCATTAAACAGATTGAGAAAAACAAAAAATACGCCAAATGGAAAGCAGCTTACATCCACAAATGTCTGAGGAATGGTGAGACCCCCATTAGTGGGCCATTACCTGAAGATGAGGAGGAAGGTAAGAAAGAAGCTTTCTAAACTGATTTTAAAATTCATTTTGACCTTTATTATGTCCCCTTTGTGACATGTTTTCTTTTGAAGTCAAGCATACTGTAACTGCGATACAGAACACTTTTTGTGGGCATTTCTTATGCAAAAGCATTTGCAAAATATCAACAATTACGGTTTATTTTTAGCGATGACGGAAAGAATCTGTATACAGACACAAAAAATTCAATTCCCATGAAAACACTGTCAGTTTTTATTCAAGAATAAAATTTTACAATGTGAAGTTATTAGTGTCGGATTCAAAAATTTTAGAAAGGAGGGAGTGGGACAGTTAAATTCACAAATGATTAAATGTCTTAAGGAATTATAACCAACCAAGACACTATGTGGTGCGATCATTCCTTGTTGATAAATTAAAAAGCGTATACAAGTACACAAGTTTAGCAAAAATCATTTACGAAAGCGAAAAAGGAAAAAAGCTCACAGGAGGGTTGAGTGGGGGGCACCAGTGAGTGAATCCCCTTTGGTTACTCTACATTTTATTAAAAACATGAAGGTAAAATACTCCTCCCCGCCCCCTCCCCCGCTGTTCTTTCACCTGTTCATTTCAATTTTTTTATATTACCACAGGTGGAGGACATTGTCCGACATTTCTCTCAGAATAGGTTTTTTCCCCAAAGTATTTTTGTTTCAAAAACACTCCCACATGATTCTTACATGTATATATATTAAAATGTTTTGCATTAAATCGTAACTTAAATTCTAAAAAAATGTGCAACAGCTTTACGCAATCTTATCTAAATTTATTTTTTAAAATATAATGCATCCCCTAAATAATTATTTTAAAATGATAAATACCTGCATTTCTGCATTTCAAATAGTACATCAACTTTCTGCAAAATCATATATATGTAAATTAACTGTTGCTTAAAATTGTGTTTCTTATATTACTTTGCACCTGTCAGTTGCTTTGTCAATAGTGTGACAGATTACTTTGCACTGCCATTTGATGTATTTACACTCAGGTGACTGTGAAGGTCTATGTCCTCTTTTAAAACTTCTTCACACTATTGTATAGTATAACTACTTTACAGACATACCACAGCCTTCCACATTCAGTGGTGCTACAGCGGGAGCCTCATCCTACAGTAGCCAGCCCCCAGGTCAACCATCACCGCCTTATCCCTCAGGGAATCAGCCATCACCGGGAACACAGTCTGCACCAGGGGGAGCTCAAGGGTGGCCCCAGACACCACCTCAGGCTTCCTACCAGCCACCACCCCAACCTTCTCAATCCGCACCTGTACCACAGGACACGTGGAAACCACCGACCAATCCAAGTAAGTCTCATATAATACCATTGTACCACCAAACCCTCTCAACCTAACCAGAACACATCACTACCACGCAAAGGCCTGTGTTTGATACATGATACAAAATCTCTAGTTTTGGTTCGGTTCATTTTTCAGTCGGGATCATCATTCAGTCTGGTTTGGTAAAAACATGTTTCTCCGTATAATTAGTTTAAAGAAGTATATTTTTGTGGACTTTTAGTTTGTGAAATAATTTTCAACAGTCAAATCAATTTAATTGATTTCTTTTATTCATTTTGCACTTGAATAATTTGACTAGATTAAGTAAAAGGAAGCAATAAAAGTTGAATTTGTTTCCTTCTATCAAAATGTATCATATCGAAAATAACCAAACCGAGACCAAGTGATACGCATCGAACTGTTTCATTTCACCCCTAATATAATACCATAGTAACCACTAATCCAACCCCATCACTCTGCACCAGGCTTGTGGGTCATAACACCACACTTTTGATATCATTCTCACTTTAACCAAAGGAATATATAGCGGAAAAGTCAAAGCTGAACACATCTTAGTTTTATGTAATAAAGGTATATTTAAACTATATATCCCAGTAAATTATATATAATTGCCACCACCTATCTCCAACACTGTGTGCACCAATACCACAGAATGTGTGGGAACCATCGCCTAATCCCAGTTACTCATGTTGACCACTTTCACAGAAAAAAAGATGACATAGGTATGCATGATGGCCTACTTTTTCTTAAAAGGATTGCCAGTATTTCCATTATAGTACCAGGTTATGTAAGTGTATCTACTGACAATGACACTATCTTACAGGTGGTGTAAAATTAAAGACAGAAGATTACCAGAAAGCTCAGAAGTTCTGTAAATTTGCCACCAGTGCACTCCAGTATGAAGATCCAACAACAGCGATAGACAATTTAACGAAAGCTCTCAAACTGTTAACCACGGGAAAGGAGAGTTAGTGTCAGTCAGTGTAGATAATCAGCACACAGAGGAGACACAGTGTGCTTAATGTGATAGAGGTATCAGCTGCATAGTCAACAAATGTTTTTATGACTCTCTGTTTTGTTAGTAATATATTTTATGTGATGTGTGCAGGTTTTATTCTGCAAAATATTGTACACAGGGAAATTTACCGCTCTCTTCTTGATTTGGCGAATTCAACACAGGGCAAATTCAAAGAAAATAGTATAATTTCTGAAACAGAACTATTGCTGGTCAAATTTAAAACAGGCAAAATTGTTTGCAAGGGCTAAAATAACACAAGGCAAAATAATCCTGCATACAGTAATAGGCCTAGGACAAGTTTAAAAAGGATTCAAATAGCATGGATATACAATTTTTTTCTTTATAAAATTATGCTAAAAATCAGTAAAGTATTACAATTCACTTTATATACAAGTATTATGGATCAATATTACACAAAAAGATGTTATATAAATGTGCTACCATTCATTTCTATTTATCTCCTTCTGTAAAATTTAAAGCAAACCTTACAAGCTAAGAATTGATGCTATTTCTCACTTTATGGTAATAGGTATTGTTACAGTATGTGCTTGTTTGGGGTGCTTAATTATCCCATACCTTAAAAATAATTAATTTACAAAGCTCACATGTATCAGCAAATGATTGAGTCTGTAAGCTTGCATTTTCTTTCTTTCACCAGTGTACATCAAGTAAATTTCGAATATTTTGTCTTTTGTATAATAAACATGCAAACATTCATTTAAAAATGTGAAAACTTCAGCCCATTTTATTTTTAAGCATCACTCAGTGTACAATCCTGATCAATTACTTGGGGATGCTTACTCCTCCGTGGCACCTGATCTCACCTCTGATGTGTTAGAGGTCCAAGTCTGCTCTGTGGAACTGATTTATCATTTCTGAATACTGTGTTTTCCCCATGTTTTCACTTTGTTGTGATTTTATATTTATATCCAAAACTGTCATTGTTATCAAACAAAAGTTTTCATAAATTTAATTTGCTCATTTTATATGATAATTGAAGTTTTACAAAAATATTGTAAAAGTAATAAAATCAGTAGGCATATTACTAGAGAAAGAACAAAGCAAACATATGTTTGCAAAGATATTGAAAAAATATAAATTATATTACTTTTTGAATTATTACCTTTGATCCTGAAGAAAGATGCTGGATAACTTAACATAAGACAGATATTGGCTCATTGAACATTTGCTGAACATATTTTAATATGTAATAAATATATAAATGGATTGGGCAGCAATATATAAGCCCTTTCCACAGATATTCAAAGTAGTGCAAGCCACATTCTGGATATTTTCTTGACAAGTATAACTGTTAAAATTTTGAAAACATCCCCGAGAACACAACACTTCATCTGAAAAGGAATCCAGGCAAACCTCGAGTGACTTTTGAGAACAGGTTCCAGATCTTTTAGAATTTCCAGGAACAGGTTGCCTTGCCAGTTGAAACACTCTAGTCCAGTTAATCTATCTTTCTTAATTTCTGCGATTTCTGCAGCATGTGAGCAGAAGCTTTGTAGCCACATATTGATAACACTAAGGTTTTCTTGTAAATATGTGTTTTCATTATCTGTTGATACACTCTGCATTTTACTGAAGAGTTTCAATAGAAAACTGATCTCATATTTGACAAGATACTGATAAGAGGGACTAACATTCCAGACGTTCAGTGAAGAATTGAAATATCCGGGTAACCTGTTATTGTAGGCACTCTTCCTGAGTTCATACAGGACTTTTATCAATCCCTCCCCTAGACTCACACTATCAGCTCTACGTCTGGAGCTGCAGTAGAGGATCGCTGTCTTGATTTTATATGTGTCTACCTCCAGAATCTCCGTATAATGGAACAGCCATTTTAGAACTTTATACACCGTCTTCCAGTTCTCGTGTAGTCTCCTCATACATTCCTGTTCTGTCTTGGTGTACGAGATGAGCCGACATTCTGTCTGCTTCTCCACACACTTTACAGATTCACATGATTTCAGAACAATGTGGCAGCCATTTTTCTTCAACAATTCGTTTTTCAGCGACATTGTAGGAAGAAGATTGTTGAATGTGGATAGCGATGAATGGCAACACGACATCAGATCAACACATATTTCCAGCTCCTCTTTGGGCTGCCTTTCATACAGTATTTTGACCTTCGTACTTGGATGTTTGATATCTACATGACTGTATTTAGTCCATATCAATGTAAGCGTCTGGACATGGGAGAAAGCTTTGTATGGTTTCCCACGCACTGTGATATCCTTCATCGAGAACTCTCCTAGTCTGCCTTTTATTGGTTCTGATAGAAGCAGCTTCAGAGTCTCCCTCACGAACATGTTGAACTGTAACATTGCGATTTCAAACCTACGCTCGGGGCCGTCGTCTGGTTTAGCGCTATCCCACAATTCCTGATTGACCACTCCAACACGTGCGTATCCATCTCTGCACCCTTTCTTCAAGGAAATAGAGTCCACATTTGACAGCTGTTCCACAACCAGCATGAAATCGAACTCGTTCGGGAGTTCTATTTTGGTTTGTTCGAAGTAGCTTCCCGCATCAACCACTTCTGCTACTGAGAAATGACAACTCGGGTAGCACTTCAGAAGTTTGGGAAGAAGATTTTTCACTAGATGAACCACCATGTCTTCTATGTCTTTGACTACATCATCCGATACCCGGAAACTACACTGCTTGTCATGAATAAGACGTATCACCCCATCCAAAGATGTCATTTTAAACCTGTTGATAAAATTTTATTCTCTCAAATTTTTACAAAAGCTTTCGTTAAAGAACTAGAAATATGCCAACAGGACATAAAGGCCCCGCCAAGAGTTCATAAGAAATGCAACACGAAAAAGCATATTAGATTTGATAAAAAGATTTATTATACCTCTACTGATTTTTCACTATATAAAAGTAAATCGATATATTTTGCTGATTTCCTGAAAATCACCGTGAATAAACCGATTCCCTGAAAAACAGACTGATTCCCTGCAAAAAAAGAAAATATTTTGAATATTTTTTTTTTTATGAACTGATACACACCTATTCAAAACACTTAGCATTTTCTTCAGAAACTTACGACAAACTTAGAAATGTTCCAAATAAAAACTCATGAATATTCATTAATGAATCGAAATGCATCAAACACCATTTGTCAACTGGTCCCATATCAATCAAAAAGTTAAAAGAACCAGTTTATCCATTTTAAAACAGCAAATTGAAACAGAAATGGTGAGCTCAAGATGTGCGGTTTTAAAAATGTCTTGTTTGTATCGGTATCACAAAATAAAACAGTTAAATTAGGCCTATATCAATTTGATCTGAATTGTGGTAGTCTTGCTCCATCTTTGAAAATTTATAACTTCCCATGCTCATTTTTGTGCTCCATCATGTCCATATGACAAATGCAAGCAGTATTCTAAAAATAAAAGGAAATGCAAGAAAATATTTACAAAAATTTATCATAATTGATGTTAATCAATAAGAATTTACTAAAGTGTCCATCAGTCTGACAAATTTTCATTAACAAGATTGGTTTATAGATTATTGCATCAGTTATATTTGGGCACTGTATAAATGGGAAACAACATTTTTCTGTTATTTTTAAAATTGAGATAATCACTAATTCAAGAAAGTGGTGTCAAAGTCAAAATTGAAATGCGGATGAAGTTGATCTCATTATGTATCAGTATATGAGGTTTGATAACATTAGATCTGGAATAGCTTCTTTCAAACTTACATGTAGTTAAATTTAAAAAAAAGTAAAAGGACAAGTTAAAGAAAAGTTGATGAAGTTAAATAGTTTGTATCAACACAAATACGATTTGAAAAAAATTATCTTAAATACGTTTTATATAAGAAAAGTTGGTTCCAGGTCAAAGTGAAAAAGCTGATTTCTCCTCAATATGTACCTGCACATAAGGTTTGATAAAAATATTTTGACTTTTTTTTTCTGAAACTGAGCTGAACTCAGAGTGTGATGGAAGACGGACAAGACGAACACTTCTCGCCCTGGCTACATAAAACATGCAAATATTTATTAAATCGATCCGAAAATTTATTTCATAATTACACCGTCTCTTACTAGTATTTTGTTTAAAGTATAAAGTACACCATCTCGGAAATATTCACCTGTGCTATTTGATTCCAGTTTCTCTGCAAATAAAATCATTATGGTAAATAATGTAAATTATATTTATCATTTACAAATTATTATATTGTTTAAAATCAGCTAATTGCTGATCACCGCCCTTTTTTCATAAAAAAGCTTTGCAAATTTACAGACAAATGTTTGAGGACATAATGATTTAAAAAAAAAATTGCTTTGAATTTGGATAAAAATGCCTATCAATTTTTTTTTTTACGAAAGTCTGTATAATGTATACGTACGTATGTTATAAAGATGTAATTATTAAATGTAAGCCCAAACGAGTTACCTTAGAATTTCCCTGTCCTCGGAACAATATTACTGCCGTATTAGTTACAGTTACTGTATATATGCAGAATGTTTAGTATCCATTGAGTCCTGATGTTTGTAAATGTTACTCATATCGATGGATGTGAAGTAATCACGATTCAGTATCATCTCACACCTGCCCTGTTTGGTCAGTTGGTGGTTTCCAGTTTTCAGAGATCATTGAGTTGGTTTTTTGTGAATTGGCGTTTCTAAAACATGGATCACAATACGGAACGAAATTAAAACGAAAGTACATGTATACACTGAGAGTACGCTAAATTCCAAAAATATAAGGAAATTAGGAGGAATCACTTAATTCTCTTAAAAAGTTTCCTCATCAATCAAAATAATCATCATTAATGGAAAATGTAATATTTTCATTTATTTTATTTTTTATCGTAAAAGGAATATATATATAAAAAAAGCATGCATAAATTCTTTTCCCTCTCCATATTTAATTCTTTAAGTTCAGAAACATAGATCTAGCTGAAAATTTTCAAATAATTGTGCATTCTATGATAAAAGTGTGAGATTACTAGTATTTACATTGTAAATGTCTATATTTGTGCCAAAAAATGGTGCTTTTATCACAATTACAATGCACAATAGGTTCCCTATACCGCCATATTATTTCTCCTTTCGTTTCTCTTTATATGATATGAGTATATAAATATTACAACTTCTCGTTAAGAGTAGATTTCCCATTTTTCTTATCGATGAATGTCTGGAAAAATTCTAACGAAACCTTTAAAATAATTATAAATCGGAGACATGGCAAAAATACGGGTCCCTGGAGACACCAGCAATGGGACCAGGTACCTGTACCGTCAGAAAGTAAGCATCCTTGGAATTTCTTACATTGAATCTCTGCATTAATCAGTTTTGTAATCAAATTTGGTACAAAACAATTGCAATCAATTGTACAAAACATTAAAAAGTTGAACCAATGGTATTTTGTGGTTGTATTTGTACGATCGATATAAAATAAGGATTTTATAATTTTGGAAATGCTCACTAAATATTTTTTTCCCAGTTATATATCCATTTGATATAATTTGATGAGTCGCCGCAGAATCCACCACATCTACCACATGAATATAAAAAAAAGGATTTGCTTATTATAGACGTTATAAGCCACTACCTAAAATTTTAAAAGCACTATATATATTAGATCTTAAAGTGACATCATCACCTTATCCAAGCTGGTTCAAATAATTATTTATCATACCTAAAATTTCACAGAAAAATGGCAAATTCTTGCATTTTTCAAAGTACATCAATATGGCCGAAATTAGCACATTTTTTTTTTTCAAAGTGCGTTACTTTTATCCCAGAATTTACGCACTTTGTAAGTATTTTTTCCAAAGTGCGTAATTTTTTAAAGTACATTAATTGTAACAATGGTTATAACATCCTCAAGATAATAAATTCATTTCAATTTTACTTTAAAAGAAAAACGTGATTGGATGATCTGAATGAGTCACTATTCTCCCCAAACACGTGTAAAATAGTTTGACCTAAAAGACCATAAGAGTGAAACCTAGCACTTTGTTAACCTGCTATATTAGATTAATACCCTTTTTTCACTTTTATTGCTCAAAGTTCTAGCTGAGAGCACATCTATTTAAGAAAATAATTTTATTGGACTATCATAAGCAATTTAACCTGCGTCAAATCGTGATATCTACAAAGATAACGAAACCGTGGTAGTAAAAAGTCGATTATTGAATTATTAGTTACAGTGTTTTCATTTTATTGGCTTCGGTGGTATAAAAAAAATCTGATTAAAATTTCTGTTTATGTTTATAATTTTTTGACTTTTGGTTTTATAACATTTTTGCAGATCAATTGATCCTGGATTTAAGAACTGGTTTAAAATATAACTTCAAATTACCCATTCAGACTGTGCATACAACCTTCAAAGCAGGTTATCAAAACAGTTGCTTAAACAAACTCCTGAAAATTAATGCTGACCAAAGGTTGGGTCCTAGATTTCCTGCAAAGGTGTTTTTTTTTCATTTGGCTTAAAAAACAAATTGTGCAGATAAATTTATGATTTGGTGGGGCTAGAATTTAGACCTTTCTCATAATTTTGGTGCTTTTTTGTTAAATCTGGAATTTTCCAGCGCTCGAAAAAAAAGCTGTGGACATGAAAATCCTATGATAAAAATGTTCACTTCCTTTAATCGTTATGTTTGCTCACATATGATGACAATTATGTTGCGCACAAATGAAGACGAGTCATTTAAAATCTAATTTTTATATTGTACCGCCTTCTAAGTGTAAAAGACATGAATGACTCCAAAGCACACAGATTCTGTATCCACAACCTGGCCTGTTTTTAAAACTAGATACTGTCAGTTGATTTCGCATTTTGTCAGCATTTTGTTAAAGTCGCGCATTAAAGGGACAATTAATATGAAATCCATCAATCCTTTTGTATTCAATAACACAGAAGCAAAATAAAAAAAAATAAAAAAAAAAAAAGAGAGAAAAAAAAAAGAATTAGATAGATTACATGATCAGTACGTAGTGGTACCTGCTGATAAAGCAGGTAATAACACAGTCGTTGTTTGTAAGGTTCATTATACTGATTGAATTTTAGGAGAACTTGGATCTAGTCCTAAAAAACTTGTAATCCAACTTCTTCTCGCAGTTCCTTTTCTAAGGAAGGAATTCTTCAAAATTATTTGTCAGTTTTAATATTTTTAATATTCCAAACAGCTAAAATGAATTTGAATTACCATAACTGTTTTAGATTCCGAAACTTCATAAAAATCCTATCAAAGCAAGGCAAAAAGCGGGTTCCAGTGAATGTTCAACCAATTCTCTTTCTTTACTCTTCACTAATACCCCATTCATACGACATGATTTTCATACCTCAGTATATTTTACACATAAGTAAATTTACTCTCATGTGCAATTTTTGTCGTATGAACTGATTTACTCATATGCAAATTCTGCACAGTTGAGTAAATTTACACCTAGTCAGGACTAGGTGCAAATTAACTTTTGCATATAATTTGTAGCAAATTATCAATTCATCTGTGTAAATTTTGTCGTATGAACACGCAGCAAATTTACATAATAATAATAATAATAATATTTGTATAGCGCCCTATTTAAAATAAATTACTCTAAGGCGCTGAACAGACAGTGTTTCAGATATACAAGTAGTTAAATACAACATAATAATCATAAAAACATAAAACCTAAAATCATTGTACGAGATCATTACTTTAACATAAGAGTAACTAAAATTATAACTTTTTAAGATCAACTTAAACATATTTGTATTGTTCAAAGAAAATCAACTTCACTGTTAATTTCTTTATCCTTTTCATTCTCCTGGAAAATACATAATTATGTTATTCAAGCAGATATTTCATAATGGTCTCACCAACTTATTGCACTGTAGATTTCCTATTACCCAAAAAAGATTCCAATCGTCCTATTTCTGCTGAAGACATCAACCAGTAGATGGCAGCAGTCACCTTTTTCTTTACACCCAACGACTCTTCTACAGTCTTTAGGACCAAGGTCAAAACATTTTCCAACATTTAACAAAAAATGTTAATAAATTTTCTATCTTCCTGTGTGAATTCTTTTACCATTCTTTGTCCTTAAGTCATTAAGTTCATTTTTTTTCGTACAAATAAATCAGAGGATCGGATCTCTCTGAGGAAAGTCTTATACCCAAACAGTAAGGAAATACCCAGGCCTTTTTCTTTTAAAAATTCACAATTCTGAATCTATCTCCTAGTTTTATATAAAAATATGAGGATTTACTTACAGTACATAAATCTCGTCCGAACGCATAGCAAATTAACTTTTACTTACGTGTGTAGATTTACTTATATGTAAATTTGCATACATAAGCAAATTTTCGTCGTATGAATGGGGTATTTAAGATATTAACGGTAAGTAGTTAAGGAGAAACTTCAAGAAGACTTTGCAACAATACATTCAAGAAGAGGTGTAAACCAGATCTGATAATTCCAGGAAACTTTTGGAAAATTTGAAATCACAAGATTTTATCAAAATCAACAGCTTAAAATCTTACCACTTTTTAACTTTATACACAGCCATTCCCTGAGATAAATTAAAATCTAGGCTTTTAGATATCATTGACAGCTGTGTTTTCAATAGAAATGGAACTCGTAAAATTACTTTTTTTGTCATTGGTAACTTGCAAAGTTTTTTTGTTCGAAAACATTCTGATTTTACACTCAAGTACTCTGAAGTTGACTTCAAAGAGATGCTTGAGTTTCTGATTGAAAATATTTATGTGGTTTTTTGAGATTTTGTTTCCTTCTATTGGAGTTCCCATGGGTTCTAATTGCACCCCATTGTTAGCAGACCTATTTTTGCATTCATATGAAGCAGAATTTGCTCAAAATCTTGTATGCTAAGGCTTTCAACTCTACATTTAGATATATTGACGAGGTACATGTAATGTCAATTAACAATTGTTATTGCAGTTATTTCCATTAAGTTTAAGTGTTGGTGTATGGGGATTGGGGTGGAAGTAGTTATTCAGGATTACAGGTTTTTTAAGCATTGGATTGTTAACAAGAATGTTCTTTCCCTTTATAAATTACGAGATACATAATATTTACTTCCATAAAGTGAATCTGTAAAAATATACTAGTATATGTTTTTCATATTTAATATACAAAGTTGCTTATCATTTACTATCGAAAAAACGACAGGTCCCTTTTTTAGAATATCAAATTTTACTTCTCGCATAAAAACGTACTAACGTTAGATGCACAGTTCGTGTTTTATATTCTAAAATTGAAAAATAATACATTTTTGAATATAGGTGATGCATGTGTCTAACTTCAATTTATATTTTATGCAGCCGACATTTACTTCAGGTATTGATCAAGTTTAAAATGGTATCGCTTTTGTTTGATTTTTATCCGCCTATAAGTTTTCAAAATATTTGCGACTATCGTCTCCATCAATAAGACGCATGCCTTTTCACACATATCGAAGAGGTTTGATGATCAAGACTCATTTCCATTGTTTACTTTATATATTTCCCGGGCGACAATTGATGATTACATCAATGTTTTCTTGTTTCCATTCTTATGACTATACTATATATCCTGGTGAGCTTGAGATATAAGATACCACATAGTTTGACACA